GAGACAACTCTATGTCTAAGTGCCGCCCCTCCACACTTTTTTTTTTTTTTTTTTTTTTTAGCAGAAAAATATTTGAACTGCACAAAAGATTTGCTGTAGCTAACAGGATGTCATGTGTTGTTATAACTTAGAGATTTAAAACTGAGGTATAAAAAAGTAGTTGTAGCAGTGATCAATAGACCACACTGCTTTTTGGGTTCAAGGAGGTTACCTAATCCTGGACATGGAGCTTTGCTTCATTATTTAGCTATATTTCCTGTTTCTTTGATGGTCATAAGAGCTTACACTAATCTTTAATGCCTGGAAGGATTTTGCAGAAATTTAAAGAAAAAGAACAACAGTGCTGGAAACAGATCTCAAAGATATTTTATGCTAGGCTGCTTTTGAAAAGAAAGTAAGATTTATTGAACAAAAGCATGAGGTTGATGAAACCAAACACTATTGAAGGAGCAAAGAGTAGGAAATAGCTCAGTGGCACTTCAACACTGAAAAGTTGGGAGTTGTTTAGCATATACTTGGAGACTTCACAAAGTTTGTGGAAACAAGGAATTGAAATATATTTTGATGTAAAAAAAATTTTAAAACTCCATGCATAGTTTTGTCATGACACAAATTTTCTGTGATCTTTTTGAAGATCCCTTGTGTATAGATGATGCTTCTGGTTCTCATTTTTTTTAGCTAAGAGGAAAATTATTCCAAAAAAATCTAAAACAATATCATACATTTTGAGTTTTAAGAAGTCTTTACATGGGATAAGCAGATGGCATAATGGTTATGTCACTGGTCTCCCACATGGTCAACCATGGTTTGAGGCCCAGACCCAGCAGCTTAAAAGTCACACTGGGCTCGTATGTGCTCCTGCCCGCGCTTCCAGGAGAAGAAAGGATTGCTGTGTGGCTATTCCCCCTGGGGGATGATTTCTCGCTTTCTCTTTCTCTGTTTCTCTAGTTGGCACACATGCCCTATAGTAAAAATCTCTCTTAAAAAAAAAAGAAAGATGTCTTTACATTGACATGACCCTAAAAGGCAGGGCATCCGGAAGCTAGGACTTACAGATTATACTGGGTTTAGAAATTCTTAGGTTAATGATTGGTTAAAAGCACTAGTTTTTGTCTCCAAAAGACTCAGAGTCAACAGAAAAGAATATCAGAGTTTAAAAGAGATAATAAGATTTTACTATGTAGCACATAATGCTATATCAGGAATGGAATAGAGGGAGCATCCCACAATCACAGGACCAAAGTGATCTGTTACAGCAAGATTATTGTTTATAGATATTACTCTCCCTGGTCCCTTGGAAAGTATTTTTTTTTTTTTTGAGATGCTTTTGCCTTAGGGTGTATGCACTCATTGGAGAAA